CCGCAGACGGCGGGAGAGCCGCGGGCTGTGCCCGGGCGGAACGGTGTGTGCCTCTGGGTGCGGGCGCTGTGGGCGGCCAGGGGTGGAAAATAACCGGGTGAGAGGAGACGCAGGAGGGAACAGGAGCTGGGGGAGACTTTGTTTCGGGACAAACCCGCCTCGGTGCTGCGGTACAGCCCGGAGCTGCTGCTGCCGCAGGCTGTGAGCCTGCAGTGTCTGTAGCCGCTGCTGTGAGATGTGACCTGTGCTTACAAGTTGTTCCACTTGTATCAGGTAAAATACGGCCCAGTATATGCAGCTAAGAAATGGGTGATGAAGTGATAAACAGCTAAGGCCCTGACTCCTTCTGTGTTTTTAAAGGCATGGCTGATGGCATTTTCTCCATTTTTCTGAAGTGATTTCTTTCTCTTGCAATGAGAGCAATATATAAGACAATGCCCACAGAAAGCAGCACTGCAGTAGTTTCTCTGGCAGTGCTGGAGAAACTAAGGGCAACACTTTGCTAACATTGCTAATCAGAAGGGGCTTTCACATAGTAAAATGATGCTACAGTTTCATGTCTCATACTGAGTTGACTGTCCTTGGAACATGTGGTATACATTCACTGTAGTAAAACCATGCCAGCATGAGTGTCACTCCTTGAAGCATTAGTCCTTCCCATAGGCCAGGAGAAAACTAGTAATTTAGCTGCAGTGTTTCAGCTAAGCTGGTTGGCTCTATTGCAGCATTGTGCTAGCACAGCTCCCTTGCCACTTGCCAGCATGAAGCACAGGCAGGGCACATTCACTTCCTTACAGAATATACCATTTGAACAAGTGCTATAGCAGTGTCTCCATGTTTATGTCAGTGTGATTTGCATTGCCCTAAATATGTATCATCTGAACTGCTGATTATATGTACTCATGTTGGATTAGATAATGCTGTATGAGCAATATATTGTTGATTCATGGTATTATTATGCTCTTTATCTGAAGTTCAGCTTTTTGTAACTGCAGACTTTCATCAGTTTGAAGTAGGCCTAGATTCCCAGCTTTTAACAGAACAAATTGTTTATTTTTATGGCAGGATTTTTTCCTTGAGGCTATTATTGGTAAGACTATTATTTTGGTGTAGGAAGGCAGACTTATCCTTCAACATATATAGCATCCAGCTGGAGAAAGTGATGGACCAGACTAGAGCTGTTTCATCTTGATGCTTCAGCTGTGCAGTCAACTTACCTATGTGCATGTGTGATACACATTTGGTGTAAAGGGGTGTTAAAAACTCCAGGTATGCTGTGCAGCTTCTTCGTCCTTGCAAATATCGTGCTATTCCACAAGGTGGTATCTTCAAATATGGACTAACATTCATGCACAAAAAGATGAAAGAAGTTTGGCAGATTTAGAAGAAATACAGACTCACCCACAGGAATCTAGAGAGGTCTTGACAATATTTACATCTGAACTAATATACTGAGTACCCCATCACATTTATTTCTTTAAAACATTCATGGATGTTTTGTTTTCAGAAATAAACAACTTTCCAAAAGCAGACAGGTAGAAACAGTTGGTAAAACACTTGAGACATGAGTGATGTCTGAATAAAGAAAAAAAATACCATAAACTTCAATTTTGCTCTGGAAATATCAGTTACAGAAAAATGTAACCAAATCTTTCTAGCTTTCTAATGCTGAAGAAAACCAGTAAAGCAAAAATGATTTTTTTACTTTGCTTGACACAGGCCAGCAACTAGTTTGCCTTCAGTATTCTCAAAAGTAATCTGAAGACTTCTAAATTATATCTGCCTTTCCCTTAAAGGCCTAGAGCTAGGGATTTTTGAAGAATTCTGGCAGTGGGACTCCTTTGCTTTCCTCCCAGCTGTCCATTCCAAAAGGAATACAATATAGACTCAAAGGCTTTATATGTGCTAGTGTTTCCTGATGCTGGAGAAAAAGCTCAGTAGTTTGAAGAAGTTACTGGTTTTTATTTATTTTTTAATCACAGGAAAACCTCCGCAATTAGTGGAATAGTTTCTGAGGTAGATAAATACCAATGGTTAATATGATACACACACCTTCTTTGAATTTTTCTTATGGCATTCAGCTCTCTAACAGTTTCTTCTGTGCATATAGTATGTTGAAGAAAGCCGGAGAAGTTAGAGATCAAAACTTTGCTGAACTCAAACTTTTAACCCTCCTCCTGCATAAAGTCTTTTAGATGTTTTGATGTTGGTTTTGCTCTCTTTTTCTTTTGACATTATTGCAAAAATTGTGTACACAAATGTTTTAGGAATGTATGAGTTTTGTGTTGTTCCAGCAATTATGCCATATTGCAGAGTGGTTATGCTAATGCTGTATTACTTTTGCATGCAAATAGTTGAAATGAGAGCACTGAAATGCAGCTACTTATAACCAGATCTCCACTACTAGTTTTCTGCTGCACACTGAGTCTTCCTTGTAAATGATTTTGCTTTCCTTGTATTTGCCTCTGTTTCACTTGTCTCTGTGTCTCTGATTATGGTGCAAGTGCCTACATATCTGTGTTTGCAGGCTTCTATCTAAGCGTGGAGGTGGTTTTTATGAGATTGTAAGGATTTAGAGAAGCAGAAGTAAGTAATATGTTCTGAAAATTTAGTTTCTCTACTTTTTTAGTGCAAATTCCACACACTATCTGAAAAATCCATCATTTAAGTAGAAGTTATAAAGCAAAGAGAATCACCAGATATATGCTTGATACAAAAAGTAACCGAATATGCAGTACCTGGAAGAAATACTTTGACTGTAGTAAAAAAAAAATCTAAGAAACTAACTTCCAAAAATAATTCATCTTAGCCTCTACAAAGTCCTAATACGCCAAACACTTGATATGAATATTCTGTTGGAAAATGTTACATGATACACTGATATCACCTTATCACAATAATGTGCATTATATTAGCAATGATATTATTGTCCCATTCCAAATTAGGAGCAGGATGGAGATTCCTGTGGCTAATGATGACACAACCAAGGTCAGTGTCACTGTAAGTTCCACATTTGTTGATAACAGAGAAGAAAACAAATCCTAGCAAGTGGCAGGATAGGGATAGTTCAGAAAGAGAAAGTAGGAAAGATAAGCAGAAGCATGGAGAGATTGCGAAAGAAAAGTTACCACCATGGACTCCTGCAGCGTCCTGCGGGTCTGATCATCTCTTGGTGGGAGAACCTTCCAGCAAAAAGTTGGTCCTCTCACCATTTATTATCTCTGTCTTGCCCCATTTCTGGAATTTTCCACCTCTTTCCTCCAATCAGTCATGGCATTTTTGCCGCATTTAATAATACCAGAATATACTCTTGCCTTCTGGTTATGTAACTGGGCATGTGCTGCGTGGACTTTGGGGGGAGGGAGGTCTTGGTGAGGCAGCCTTCCTCCATTGAGCATCTTCATCACTGTATGTATTTTTACCTTGTCTCTGGTGCATGCATCCTTGCTGTGGTGGTCATTCAGTAAAACCACAAGCAGCCAGTGTGACAAAACATCAAATGCCAGTGACAGCTAGCTTCCCTTTTTCACACCTTGCAGTTTACACAGAGGAACAATGTTGGGACATTTTTGGAGTTTGGATCAGAGTCTCACAATTATAGTAGTATAAACATTATAGAATTATGTAATGGTGTATGCATGGCACTGGTGCTACAACAACAAAAGTTGCTTCCACAGTCTCCATCTTTTCTTTGAATTTCAGGCATTTATCACTGCTGGTTTTGATTCATTACCTCCAGAGATGTAAAAGCACTCCAGTTTCATTTACAGCACTGGACAAGGTTAAAAACAGGCTTGAAGACAAAAAAACCCAAACAGAAAATAAATACAGAATAAGCAAATGTCTGGTATCACTCTATTCATCAGTTAAGCTTTATGTAACAAACAACCACCTTAACATTGTTCTACTCTTATAATTGCTTTTCAGATGAGTGGCTGTGGCTGAGTACAAAGGAATCTAATTTAGGGAAACACATTGTATTTTGACTTTTTATTTTGTTCAGGGTGCTTTAGGAAAAGGAAATGAATCATCATAAAGGCTTGTCGAAGATGTCAGTTTTTGTTTGTTTGGGGTTTTTTTTCTCAGTTCCAGGTAGTTTGCTTGCAAGACCTTGGAATTAAGGATTAAAAAAAGGACAGAGGGAGTGTATATATTAACCTCAAGAACCTGAATAGTCTCACCTATTGAACACCTAATAATTCACAGTGTCAATAAAAAGCAAAAAGAATCAGGACTAGAGAGGTTTTTTTCTTGATCGGATTTTTTTGGTAGCATTTGCCATTATCTTCTCTCATTAATCAAGCATAGTTACCTAATAATATATCCACATATGTACCTGCATTGGAGTAGTCCTTAATGTAAGCCAGTTGGATTTGAGAAGAGGCTGCTGATGTCCTACCACCCCATTTGAGCCCTAGTCTGCTTGCAGCACTTAGAAGAATAAATGTGGGCTATAGAGTGGTCTATAATTTATATAAACCAATATTTTAAAACTTTTTATTAATAACTTAATAGTCCAAAATGTAGGGAATCCCCATCCCAGGCAAGTGATCTAGCTACCAAAAGCCATTGTCACCATTCTTTTGTTTGTCCCAAATAATACTTAATGAGGTCATCTGCCGTCTCCCATGGCATATGTTAGGCTGCTGGCTAAGGTGTTACTGTAGGGCAGTATCCTGTTCCAAATGAGGAGCAGGAGAAGGTTATGGCAATTTCTGTTGCAAATAATGACATAAACGAGGTCAGTGTCATGATAAGTTCCGTGTTTATTAATAACAGAGAAGAAAATGAGTCCTAACAAGTGACAGGACAGGGATAGTTCAGAGAGAAATTGGGAGAGAGAAGCAGAAGTACGGAGAGTTTGCAAAAGAAAAGTTACCACCATGGAGTCCTGTGGCATCCTGCAGGTCCAATCATCACTTGGTGGGAGAAACTTCCAGCGAAAATTTGGTCCATTCGCTATTTATCATCTTTGCCCCACCCCATTTCTGGAGTTTTCCACCTCTTCCAGTCGGTCATGATGGTTTTGTATGCCCTCTGGTTATGTAACTGGGCATATGCTGGGTGGTCTTTGGGGGGCCTTGGGTAGGCAACCTTCCTCTGTTGAGCATTTTCCTCACTGTGCCTATTTTTTACCTTATTCCTGGTGCATGTTTCCTTGCCATGGTGGTCATACAGTGAAACCACAAACAGCCAATGTGGCAAAAATCAAATTCCAGTGACAGCTAGCTATTTTTGGAGTTTGGATAAAAGTCAGTAGACATCAGAGTCTCACAGGAAGGTAAACCAGTATTTCAA